CTTTCTTCCCCACCCTGTCCTGTCCTTCAACTCCAGCTTCCACAATGACCATCGGGACGTGGGGCTGACTGATCATCGCCAGCTCATTGTATGTTTTTTTGTCCGCTCTGCTCTTTCTTCTTCCTCCTCCTCCTCCTCCTCCTCCTCCTGCTGCCGCTGCTGCTGCTGCTGCTGCTGCTGGTGCTTCTTCTCGGCATCAGCACACTCGGTCAGGACGCGCCTCTCCAGACTTCCCTGCGAATAGACGTCTGTCTCCTCGTCCGTGCCTTGATGGTGCTGGCCGAAGGGGTCTCTGCTACTGCACATCTTCTGGTGGTGTTTACACTCCTCCTCCACCCGCGCCAGCAGTCGCCGGATCTCCCGGTTGGACGGACTGAGCCGCGATGCCTCGTGAAGGTCTGCCAGTGCTGCGGAAAACTGCCTGAGAACCACAGAGTGGTGGAGACACAACATACGTCTGTGAACCCAGCAGAGATAGAGATGTACACAGTAGATACTGCCAGACCCCCAGCAGAAGGCAAAGGAATGATTAATGAATCATTATTTTCTCCCTCCATGTCCCACAATCGCAGAAATAAAATGTACCTGCTGCTTCTCTTGGCCCGGGCTCGAGCATAAAACGCCTCATAAGACCTGGGTTTGAGTTCCAGGGCTTTCGTTGCGAACTCCTCGGCAATGCCAAAATCCTGTGGCAGTCAGAAAAGTCAATGATTACATAACCGTTAAACAATTATTTCTAATTGCACTGAAAATATATAACACCCCCCTCCCCAACAAATCATGTCGGTCTAAAGATTAGTTCCTGTGAGACACGGGCAGTAGAAATGACAAAATGATTTTATTGACCCGGGAACATCAAATGGGGCAATGGTAGCAGAGAGGCAGATCTTTTCTCGTGTTTTCACTGCCTCCACCAGTCTCAGGTGAATTTGCAGCGACAGCGATCCGTCCTTGAGAGTGAGGTCAGGTCGGCGGCCGGGGATGTGAGCCTGTGAACGTGGCTGTTGAATGTTTAATGACGCTATCATGTGGGTCTTTCTGCTGGGCTAGCTGCTGCGTTTTCCTATTATATGTGTATTACGCTAGCCCACCTGCACATCCACGGTCAATGAGTCAGTATGTGTGTGAGTGTGTGAGCGTTATCACATCACATTATCTGCTCCATTATTCACCAGTCACTCTGACCCTAAGGATGGCATTTTAACACAGTCTGTTAGGACGTCTGTCAGCAGCGGGGTGGGTTCCAATCCTGGCTGCAGGCCACACACATCCATCTCCACACTAACAGAGCACTCGTCTCATCATATCATCGCCCGCTTCCAGGTCTCTCACCTCCTGTTCGTCAGATTAACATGAAACTACATACGGAATATTTGAACAGCAGGAGACCGGAGTAGAGTTAGAAAAAAAAAAATGTTGTATGCACTAAACCGTATGTTTTTGTTAACAAGATAATTGTGAAATAATTGTAATCATTTCTTGACCAAACACATTCTTGTGCTAGCTGCAGATCTGCTGAATGTCCCAAATTGGAATCAATAAAGTTCTTTTTTTTTTATTATCACACGTAAAGACAGATTCAGAACATATGATGACCTTCATTAGAAGAGCTAACATTTGTCATCAGGGTTGTGGTTCCCAAAGGTGGGGTCGGGACCCTTGGGAGGCACACCAGCCTGCCTGCTTCCTGACGACTCAGGACTGAAATTCAGCCCCGCACCATTACAGAGCATGCTTTACTATAGATACCCAAAATAATTTCATGTATTTGTGCCACATCGGATACTAGATTTAAAGGAGCCACCGTGAGATACTTTGAAAAAAAAAAAGAAAGATTTTGGATTTCAATTTCATAATTTATCCTCAAATATTTAATATTTAATATTTTTTATTTCGTAATTTATCCTCAAATATTTAATATCTAATATTTTTTATTAGCGTGTCTCTATTAGGTTAAAGTAAAATACCTTTGAAATTGATTTTAAAACGAACTAATCTAACGTATATCACCTTCAGTTACTAAGTGGCAATGATCAATCCAACAACTTCAGAAATCCTTCAGAAACATAATTTCTTAAAGACATTTGTCTATTTCAGGCCCCGCCCCCATGGCTGTTCCTCTTCTGCGTCTAATGAACTGAAGGTTAAATAGGACGAGCACAGATTAAGGCGACTCACATTGGTTTTCCTGCGGCAGCGAGACAGGTTCAGATAGAGAGAGACCCGCAGGTCTTTAAGCCCCTTTAGTTCCCCCCCTTGGCCTTCTCGAGGAACTTTTCTCAGGGCGTACTGATAGCGTTGGCCTGCCTCCTTCATACGTCCCTTCTGAAAATACAAAAAAAAAAAAAAAAAAGATGATGCTTAAACTCAAGGTTTGGTTTCATTGTAAATATTCTAAGTATGTGAACGAAATAAATAAACCTTGTAAAGCATGTTGCCTTCCTCCATCAGCTTCTGCAGCAGGATGAGCAGAATGTCTGGTTTGGTGGAGGCCATGGCCCACGTGGCATGACCTGACGGAGGGGCACAAATATTTATCATCCTGGTATCTGCCTCAGTTGTCTCCTTTAATTTGCATCTTATATAAATTATGTACCTGACTGATCATGCAGAGCAGATCCTTTGGGTAAACGAGGGAATGAGATGGTGCAGGGAGAGAGAGAGAGAGAGAGAGAGAGGTGAGTGGCTGTTTAATAACCGGTGCTGCAGAATGGAGAGTGAAGAAGTAATATGCGGACGGAGACGTACACATAAATACAGACGTAGAGCAGGCAGCCGTAAAAAAGTCTGATAGAAATCTATTTTTGCGTCCCGGCTTTTTATTTTATTTCATCAGATAACAAACAAATACAAAGAGTCAAGTGACAATTCAACTTTACGAGCGCTGCCTCCGTCTCTGGAGCTTTTTTTTTTTTTTTTTCCTTCAACTGCTTTATAGTGTAAGGTATTTGTGGTTGGAGCTGAGGACAGTTTAGAATTCCTAGTGGTGTATTTCACTACAAACTAGATGGAACAGAAACACTCGGTGTTTATACCTGTCTTAGATCCTTTCTTAAGTAGCGACGCCACCAGTGCTGGATTCTGGCAGCCAGTCTTTCGGTCTGTTCCTCGGGTGCTGTTGTTGTCAGATCGTTCCAGCACCGCTCCATGTTCAACCAGGCAGTGAACCTGGAATAATGACACACACACACACACACACAGAGAACACTAACCTTTAATAATGAATGATGGGTGTACAACGACACACAACTACTATGTGTATGTGTATATATATACATACATATATTAGAATAATATATATGTATATATATATATATATATATTAGAATATTATGTATATGTATTATATGGGTGAGTATACATTTTCAATTTTGTCCATGATGATTTATTATAAACAAAATTTTGATGAACATCTTCGTAATTGTTCAGTATGATGGATGAAATATGTTTCTGTTGGTTTTACTTAAAAACAACTCTGTGATGTTTGGCTATTTTTTGTGAGGTCTGTCTGTCTCTGTTTCTGCCTGTGGGTGGAGCTAATCAGTGCTGTCACACTCACCTGTGACCACCTGTTCGTTAGTCTCACTGGTGTCACCTGGTGTCCTGGGTATAGTGGCTAGTCTTCCTGCTAAGTTCCTGTTTGCTTCTGCCTGCTCTTGGACTCCAGTAAGTGTATTTAAGTTTATATTAAGTATTTAATTTGCTTTTTGATTATACATTGATGCCCATTCTCACAATATTTGAAGGTTCAAATAAAAAGGAAAATACGTTGAATCAACAATTTACGAGTGGTTAAGAGTAATACAAGCTGTGATTGTGAGGGGTAACTGCAGGGTAAATTATTTTTATATTACTCATTTATGCAGTAACGGCTTTAAATACAGTGTTTTGGCAAATAAATCTGGCACATGATAATAGTAATAGTAAAGTTCCAAACCAAATGACTGATTGTTTTAGTTTCAAATCATCATTAGTGACACCTACTGTTTCTGCGTCGCCGTTGAGGGCAGCCAGATCCAGGGGTGTCCTTCCCAGTCTGTCCGCCTGGTTCAGATCTGCACCAGAGTCCACTAACAGCTGCACTGCCCCCTTCTGACCCTTCAGACAGGCCCAGCTGAGGGCAGTCAGACCCTCCTGGTCAGCAGAGGACAGAGAGGCACCTGGACAAGAAAACAGCAAAAAGATTGTCCCCTCATTTCAGGAGCAGCTCATGTAGATGTCTGACTCAGGAGGAGGCTTGACCCCTCACCCTTGGACAGCAGAAGCTCCACAGTGCTGCTGTGACCCTCAGAGGCAGCCAGCGTCAGCGGACTCCGACCCAGTTTGTCGCAGACATTAATGTCTGCGTCTTTTTTCAGCAGCAGTTCTACGACCTGTAGAGACGGACAGAAAAACTCAGCTGCCTTTGTCATCACTGTCGCCACCGCAGCTATTCCACAGTGTCACTGTTCTGCACGTCTTCCTGTTGCGTGTCATTCTAGATCAGGCATGCTCAAACTATGGCCCGCGGGCCGGATGCGGCCCTTTTGGCTTTTTGATCCGGCCCACCAAACTTGTCCAAATTATTAATTTATATTCATAATATATATATAGTCATTATAATTCTGCATTTTACCTGCAATGCCTGCATTTCCCCAATAGATGGTGTAGAAAAGGCTAAAAGCATTTTAGCATTTTAGCCTTTATGCATGACTTTTACATGTCATTTAGCTTAGCTAACCTGGCCCCCCTGTCAAATTTAAGGACCCATTGTGGCCCGCGGGTCAAAGTTTGACCACACCCTGTTCTAGATGCAACATTAAAGTGTTCAAATTCTAAAACAATCCAACTAACATTTATATATGTGTGTGTGTTAGCTAAGGAATCATCTTGAGATGAAAAATGATGAGCTCGAACATGTTCTCTAATTGCACTTTCCCACACCTGTGTGTGTCCATGTTTGGCAGCACTGAGCAGTGGGACCATTCCTCTGCGATTTGCAGTTTCCAGCCCAACCCCCCTCTCCAGGAGAAGCGTGCACACCTCCATCCTCCCTCTCCCCGCTGCTGCGCTCAGCACTGGCGGAGGGTCAGCGCGGAGATGAGACGACGAGGCAGACGAGAATATGTAATTGACACATTGAGCAGAGAAGAAGAAGCAGAAGTGAGAAAGGTAGAGAGAGAGAGAAGGAAAAAAAAAACAAAAAAACCCAACACGATCAGTCATTTACATAATCTCCTTGCCCGGCGCAGATGTAACAGCTCTGCGTGTTTGCTTCATCTGTGGATTTTTAAATGCACTGTGGGAGAGTTAATGTTTTCTGGTTTCTAATGCAAACGTGGGGCTGCAGAGTTTTAACGACAGACCGTCGACAGTCTTGTTATAAGTCTTTCAACGATTAAAAAAACTATAGGATGTTGATGTGGTAAGATGAAATGATCAAATAAATCAACTGCCACGTTTTTGAATTTTGGGCTTGGTATATAAAGACAAATATCAATGTATTATTTATTAAAAGTGCGGTACTTTCAAAGTTTTAACTACGAATCAAAAGGTCGAAGTTTCAATTGAATTCATCGCAGGCTGTGTAATCATAATGATTAATCGTGATTATTTGTTATAATTATAATCCAAATGTTGCAATTTATGTGGAAAAATAAAAATAATTAAATAAAATATATATATAAATATATAACTAAATTTTGTGTTGCAGAGTTGGTGGACTGAGCATCTCCGCAGTGGCTGATAGAGCACCTTGAAGGTCGCAACTTTAAAAACGTAAGTAAATCCGTTTTTTTTTTTTTCTCGGGCTACAGTTTGCGGAGTGGTATCAGTGCTGCTAGGGGTTGAGGTGCTATTATAAACTCTTTTCCTGCGATGCCTGCGAGTGACCATGTATGTATAGTCTGTGAGCCCAGGGGTGTTTCTGGATACCCTCGGGTCACAGAGGTAAGAGGGGGACCACGGAGGCCCTTCTGCCTCTTGGGGGCCCCCTTCCAGCAGACTGTGCCGATTCTCAGTCATCCCAAAATAGTTACATTGAAGGCAACTGGACGGAGTAGGTTTCTTGAAGACTTGAAGATTTGTGCCGATTACAAAAACCATCTGCGCTTCAACCTGAGACGCAGACAACACAATATCATCCCCCCCAATCCTTCGCTTGGGTTCTTCAACGAAAAAGACATCGAGCCGAAAGATTCCTTGAAAAAGCACAGAACTAACCTCTCAACGAGAGAGTGCGACAGATCAATTTCTACTACTATCAACGCACTCAAAACAAAAGGCAGAAAAACTCCACGATGAGTTAGAATCACACCTTCCTTCTGAGGTCCAAGAAGAAGTCGGCCGATTTGTAGACAGGTCTCAACTTTGCTATCACTCTGGGTACAAGGA